TCCCTCACCAGCCTCGTACTCTTGGATCATGCCACAAAAGACACCCCTGAGACGGGGATGAAGCTGTCGCAGTCGCCGCCCTACCTCTCCGAAACAAACTGGGTAGCTCAAAGCGAGCTCCAAGGTGATTTCCAAGGCCTTTCCTTCAGCAAACCATTGCTAGGACTTCTGGCCACCGAAGCCAAGCTACCTCGTCTTCTAGCCCTGGCTGACGGCTGAAAGGAGTCCTTCGAGGTAGCGCAATTGAAGTGTCGAAACAGGTGGTGTATCGGTGAAAGTCGCGCACCGGTCCATGGTAAAGGGGCGGAAAAGGGGGTCAAGCAGCGCAAAAGCGACATCTGTCAGAACTTACCATGTGTGACCGAGTCTTGCCATGGTGCTTTCTGGCGAAGGTCTCGTCGTCGCCGTTGCCATTGCCCGGCTTAAGGTGCGTCGGCAGAGCTGCCTTGAGTGTTTCCGCCATCTTCTCCGTGTTTTGTTCGTCCTTTAAGGGGTAGGTTCTGTTTATAGTACTGTTGACAGTAGGAGAGCAGAGGGGCTCGAATTTGTTGGTTGCCGTGGGGTATCGTATAAGGGAGTCTGGCAGCAAAAAAGAGGTCGTAGATGGGCAATTGAGGAGGAAAGATCTCGATGTTCTACAGAAAGACAGGCGGTTGTTCCTACTTTAAGAAAGTCAGAATTAGGCTTGACGTAATGACAGCTCAGGAACTAAGCTCCCTTTGGGCGGGCGAGACTAGAAAAACAACTGGAGTCTCCTCATTGAAGCGGAGTCCTCGCCCACTTGCCCAGCTTTTTCCTCGATTCCGGCCATCATCAGTCGTTCTTTTCTCCGCTACAACCTGACAACTCATTCCAATCAATCCCATTTCACCGGTGGAGTTCCTTTGCAAGGAAGCTGCCACTGGCGAAAAAGGAGGGGCAAAGAGCAACAGGGCAGGCAGGAAAGGTGAGGTGAGGGGCAAATGGGGGTGAGTGCTCCTTTCCAATCAGAGGAGAGGGAGCTATGAATTGTTCGGCACTACTTACGCTTGCAACTTTTGAGTAAGGTACTTGTGATAGAGCGATGATTACTCTCCGGGATAGGGACGTTTGGAAATAGAATGTTCTAGGGAGGGTGAAGATGTGAGACAAGAGGAGCAAGTTATGTTACGGAGTGGAGGAGAGGAGAAGGGAGGATAGAACAGCAGATGAGAGAGAAGGGGACTTGCAACCGGGGGGCTGAGGTTTTATTATCGTCGACTCTAACGATCGAGGTACCCTGGCGGCCTTTGGGTGAGCTTCACGGGGAATTTGACACGAAAAGCGGTGAGGGTGGAGACTGTGGTGGAGGGGTCAAATATCAGCTCTCAAGCTTGGCTGTGGCGTCACCGTCGACAGGGGTCCAACAAGTGGAAGTTGCTGCTGCGGCTGTTCCTTCCTGCACGTCTGATGAAGAATATCTTAATGGGATTCGATATTTCGACACGAAAGCCGTGAGATGCCACCTAAGTCCAGTATGCAGGATCATGCAGTGTCTTGAGTGTCTAACTCTCTCAAAGACATACACGTGAAGCACCGCAGTGAGACAGCGTGGTTGATATTTCCCGAAGTCAATAAAAAACGTGGTCGTAGTCCCCACCAATCTCAACGTTGTATTTCGACTGTACAGTATCGATTATCGGGTTGGCATCAAGCGAACGATGATATCCCGGATTGTCACTCTGTCAACCAGCCAGCCAGCCAGGTAACGCCGCACGACAAACCAACTTCGCCTCATTGATATTGGAAGATTATTGCCTCAGCACCGTTTGTCCGACATACTGCCGCTTCCGACCGGCGTCCGCGACGGCGAGAAATAAGCGGCATATCAGCTTGTTTCCGCCAAATATCCTCTTCCACTAGGTAGGTAGGTACCTGTTCTCAGCCTCATCTGACAAAAGGAACATGCAGCCACGGGTTGTGGATGCCACGCCACACTTCACTGGTAACAGCATGGCATGGCTTCAGCACTAGGTACATCAGCGTCGTGTCCAGCGTGGCAGCCAGACGGGAGCTAAAAAGGGGAGGCAGGGAAATTTGATATTGGCCTCTCTTATCGATTTTGGTCAAAGCGGCGCTCGATAACGTCGCCAACCGGGCAACCGTGGTGTCGTTAGTATCAAAATGTGACATTGAGGCTGCTATCGAAGTGATCGGAGTAGTCTTGTTTTCGGCTCAGCATCCCGTCCCAACCTTTAATATTACGGAGCAATAACAAAATACCGTAGTTCTCACGCAAGACGATTGCTAGTTTTCACGCCGTCAGCATTCAACACGTGGGGTCGCACTGCGTTCCGACTGCTCGGATCTTCAGCTCTGATCTGACACTGGACTTGTCTTTAAATAACTCCTCTTTTGCCAGGGTTGACCGCCTTATTCGTGGTCAAGGCCTGCCGCACCATTTGACATTGTTAGTCACCGTTGGCACCATGGCATAGTTGGACAGACAACAAGAAAGTTTGACTTCTTCAAGTGCTTCCTTCCATCGACAAGAAATCTAAGGTAAACCGCTACGCAAGCCAGTCCAGCGCTTGAATATACGCACCAAGCACCCGTCTCGCCCAACATAACCCTCTTTTCTATCTCCTTCCGCTCCTTACGGCGCCAATCTCTTCGGCGTCCGGGGGTAATAAGCAGCAAGGTGCACGCTCGGCAAGCCCAGCAACCACGCGACAATCCGGTCGAGTCCGAACCCGACACCGCCGTGCGGCGGCACGCCGACCTGCCGGAACGTGGCCAGGTACGTGTCGATGCCCTTGCTCTTGGGATCGACGCCCTTGGCCCGGATGCGCTCCTCGAGCTCGTCGGGGTCGTTGATACGCTGACCTCCAGAAAGCACTTCCTGGTTTCTGACGAAAAAGTCGAACGCGTTCGTGACCCTCACGCCATCATCGGAAGGCTTCGACTCCGGGTCGATCTTGGCGTAGAACGGGCGCGCGGTCTCGGGAAACTGTTGAACGGGTTAGGGGTCGGTCTCTGCAGTAGTGAAAACATGTTGCGTATTACTCACCTTGTCGACGACGTAGAAATCCGTCTTGAACTTCTCCCTCACAAGAGCGCCCAGCGCCTTCTCTTGCGGCGTGGACATGTCTTCGTCGTCGCGTACGTTGCGGAACTCCTCGGGCCCTTCGTCGCGGAGGAGCTTCTGTGCCTCGGCGAAAGTAAGGCGAACCTCCTTGCCCGGCTCGGGGAGAAGAAGGTCCTCTGAAGGGTAGACGGAGCGGACGATGTCGATCTCGTAGGCGTACTGCTTCTTGAGCTCGCGGAGAACGTGCAGGATGACGCCCTCGGCCATGTCGAGGACTTCTTTGTAGTTGTCCTCGATCTCCATTTCGAAATCGAGGCCGGTGAACTCGGTCATGTGGCGCGGGGTGTTGGAGTTCTCGGCTCGGAAGACTGGCCCGATGCTGAAGACTCGCTTCCTGCCGCCGGCGATCTCGAACCTGACGAAATGTCAGTAATGCCAATCTCAAGGTCAGGGTAGGTGGGACGCACTGTTTGTAAAACTGGGGTGACTGCGCAAGAAATGCCTCCTCGCCGAAGTACGGCAGCCGGAAGACATTGGCACCGCCCTCGGACGCGGCGCCGATCAGGCACGGTGGCTCGAATTCCCTGAAACCGCGCTTCTTCAAGTACTGGCGGTACAGGTCTTTTGCCTCGCAACGGATATCCTACACACCATATCAGTCTCAGTTTTCTTCACTCCTTCAGCGGAAGCACATACCGCAATCGCCTGCTGGATCGGGGCGCGCTTGTGCATAGCAATGTTGTCGAGGTGAGTCAACATAGTAGCAGCAGGCAGCTCGGCCTCGGACTTCTTCTCATCCGCCGCCGGCTTCGCCTCGCCTTCGACAGGAGCGACCTCCTCGTCGTTGAAGTCGGCGATGGGCCGGTTCGCGGCTGCGAGGGTGAGGCCGAGCATGGGCGGCGCGGCGGCGATGGTGAAGCAGCGGGTGATGTGCAGCTCGAAGCCGGACACGCGGCAGCTCTTGACGGGCTCGAGGGGCTTCTTGACGACGGCCTCGACGGCGATGAAGCTCTCGGGGGTGATGGCGGCGATTGCCTTGACCATGGGCCGGCTGACGGCCTGGTCGTCGGGGGTGCCTTCGGGGGTGGCCATGACGACGCCCTGGATTGTCCTGCGCGGTGAAGAGTCAGAGATCAGAATACATGTAGCACGTAGGGAGACGGACGATTACCAGTTGCCTTCCTCGCGCAGCTCGACGAAAGCCATCTTGGCGCTCTGGGTCCGCGAGTTCTGGAGCCATGCGCGCAGGATAACCGTCTTGCCCTCGTGGTCCTCGCCCAGTGTCTTGAGATTGACTTTCTGCGCCTCGGAGGAGAATTTCGGGGGCGATGTGTCCGTCACCTTGCCGTAGCGATCCTTGGCCGGGTCGTCGACGTTGACGGCAGCCATTTGCTTGGTGAGCTGCTCGGCGGCGCGCTGGGCCTTGAGGGCCTCCTTCTTTGCCTTGGCCTCTGCCTTCTTGAGGGCCTTCTTGGAGGTCGTCGCTGCATCATCCTTTGGCACGTCGGCCGCGGGGGCGGTGTCTTTTGGTGCGTCGGCCATGTTTGCGGTGGTTGTTTATTTGGAGGTGAGGTGTGGTGAGTTTCTGGAGTATCGGTCGATTGAAAGTTTTGGAGGGGTTGACGCACAGCTTGCCAAGATGAGTCAACCGGCCAATGACTCAGGGTTAGGGTTTAGCTAAAGGTTCACTTGCCACAATCGACCTCCATTGCCGAATGCTCCCATGGTCACCGTTGGAGGCAACTATGTCTGATGAATTGCTTTATTCTGCTTGGTGACGGATATGTGATGGCTTCACTGGCTTCTCTACCCAATCTGTCATGCAAGAACTGCAGGCTCGGGCCCTAAAACAAAACCTGTCCCCTCGTATTCGCTTGTCCCTTGATTCAGGCAGCAAGGCTTTCAACACCGCACTCCATAAAGCCAAACTGTTCGTCCAAATGCAACGACAACAGTCTAGGTGCCGGAGTGGTTAACGGGCGGCCCTGCTATTCCCAGCAGTCTCAGGCCGTGTCTTCGGACGCGCAGGTTCGAATCCTGTCCTAGACGATTTTTTTCGCGTTTCTCACTTTTATTTTTGCATCAATTTGATCCAAATATTTCAATTGTAGTTATTATTTCGGTGAATGGAATTAATCTTTTTATTGTACCAAATACTGAGTGTGTATCTTGTAGGTTCCTGCATCTCGAGCTTCAGTTGCTCAGTGGCAACCAAAGCTCCACGTCACAACCGGCACCTCCATTTTTCACCGAACCACAACTTCTACACATTCCCCCTTTCTACGTTACACACCACCCACCATGGCAAAGGACAAAAAGAAGGCCGGCGACTCCTCGAAAGCCGCCAAAAAGGCCGAAAAGAAGCAGAAGCAAGAAAAGAAGGCCGAGAAAAAGGCCAAGACCAAGTCCTCCAAGGTCGAGGGCTCCGACGCAGAAGACAATGTCGACCTCGACGCCGTGCTAGAGGAGTACAAGAAGCAGCAGGAGGCCTACGTCAAGATCACCGAGACGGTAGCCGAGGGCCCTCCCCGGCCCCGCGGTCACGGGTGTTTCCTCGCCTCCCCGTCCAACAGCAACCAGCTCCTACTCTTCGGAGGGGAGTACTTCAACGGCGCCCTGGCGACGTTCTTCAACGACTTGAGTATCTACTACATCGACCGGGACGAGTGGCGGATGGTCATGAGCCCCAACGCCCCGCTGCCCAGGAGCGGACACGCGTGGTGCCGCGGCGGGAACCAGAAGGATTATGTTTACTTATTCGGCGGGGAGTTCAGCTCTCCCAAACAGGGGACCTTCTACCACTACAACGACTTCTGGCGGCTCGAGCCGGCGACGAGGGAGTGGCTGCGCCTCGATCCGAAGGGCAAGACCCCGCCCGCGAGGAGCGGCCACAGGATGACGTACTTCAAGCAGTACATCGTGCTGTTCGGCGGGTTCCAGGACCTGAGCAACAGCACGCGGTACCTGGCCGACCTGTGGCTGTACGACACGGTCAACTTCGTGTGGTACAACCCGGCGCTGCCGCCGGCGCAGCTGAAGCCCGAGGCGCGGAGCAGCTTCACGCTGCTGCCGCACGACCAAGGCGCGGTGCTATACGGCGGGTACAGTCGGGTCAAGGCGACTGTTGCGGCGGGGAAGCAGACGAAGGGAGGAGGGGGAGGGCAGAAGAACGTGCTCAAGCCGATGGTGCATCAGGATTGCTTCTTTCTGCGGATCACGCCGCCCGGACCGGATGCCCCGCCGAATGCGCCTCCCGTGGTGAGGTGGGAGAAGAGGAAGAAGCCGGCCAATACGCCGAACCCGACGAGGGCGGGCGCGACGATGGCGTTTCATAAGGGGCGAGGGATTATGTTTGGCGGCGTGCATGATGTGGAGGAGAGCGAGGAGGGGATGGAGAGCGAGTTCTTCAATCAGCTGCTTGCGTGGAATGTGGAGAGGAACAGGTTCTTTCCTCTTGCGCTGAGGAAGCCCAGGGCTGGAGGGGCGAAGAAACAAGGAGGTGGTGGAGAGCACCAGCAGAGGGGTGGCAGGAGGGGAAGGGCGGCGGCCAATGAGGAGGAGTTGTTGAAGCAGCTTGCTGCGCTTCAGGCTGGAGGGAAGCTGGACGATGCGGATGAGATGGAGATTGAGAAGGCACAGGAGGAGAAGGAGGAAGAGAAAGAGGACAGGAAGGTGAGGGACATGCCCGTGTCGATGGAGATGCCGCATCCGAGGTTCAATGCGCAGCTGGCCGTGCAGGATGATGTGCTCTACATTTACGGCGGCACGTTTGAAAAAGGGGATCGGGAGTTTACTTTCGATGACATGTATGCCATTGATCTGGGCAAGATGGACGGGTGCAAGGAGATCTTCAGCAGGCCCGTTGAAGACTGGATCGTAAGTTGGCTCTGCCCGACGTTGAGTGTTTGTGCGCTAACGATTTACAGGCGTCAGACGACGAAGACGACGAGTGGGAGGAGGATGACGAGGACGACGAGGAAGACGAGGATGAGGACGGCGATGTTGAGATGGTCGACGAGGGCGAGTCCAAGAAGAACGCGGCGCTCAGCAAGCGCAAGAAGAAACAGGCCGACGAGGTGTCGAACCCCGATACGGAGTCACCCGCGCCGTCTGTTGCGACATCAGAGGAAGACGAGAGCGAGACGGACACGGCTGCTACTTCGGTGGTTGATGACGGCCTGCCTCACCCAAGGGTAAGATTCACTCGCTCCTACGTCTGCTAATATATTGTACTAACAATCACCACAGCCCTTTGAGTCCCGCCGCGACTTCTTCCAGCGCACCTCCAACGAGTGGCAGGAGATCTTGATGACGAGCCTCCGGTGGAAGGGCATCAAGCCCGAGTCGCTCAGCGTCAAGGAGATCAAGACCAAGGCATTCGAACTGAGCGAAGAGAAATGGTGGGACTGCAGAGAGGAGATCACGGCGCTCGAGGATGAGCAGGAGGCGGCTGGTATCGGTGAGGTGGTCTCGCTTGCGGATAGGGCTGAGGCTGGTGGTGCTGGTGGTGGTCTCAGGAGGAGATAGTACTGTCTTACTCTTTGCCATACTGGAATTGAATTCAGCTAGTTATGCTCTCTTGCGGGGGTCGAAAAGCAGTGAAAAGTGAGGCTACGGCCTCCGAGCATGCTTCTCGCCACCTTTGGACAGCTGGGTCATTGTTGGCTTTCGGATGTTCCATTCAAGCCTCGCTTGCATCGATTGGCCACAAATGGCGGGCAGCCCTTTCTCACGACAGCCCTAGCTCTGTGGCATGGCGGACACAGCAGACATAGAATTGGTTTGCACCTTGATCTCATACTTTCTGACGCCAGACTCCCGTTCTAAGAGAGTTTGAAGCCTCTTTCGGGGCCAAAAAAGCAGTGCAAAACGAGGCGAGATTATGCCAACCTGCCAATGGCACAAACAGGGCTTCACAATTCCATTGGCTCCGGGGTATCCAAACAGCCTAGCATTTCTTAAGACATCCTCAACCAGTCGATCTCTTCCTCAACATCTTCCCAAACAGCGAATTCCTCCTCCCCGTCTCAGACGTTCTCCTCCCGTTATCCCCCATCGCCCTCACCCTCCAAAGCAATCCCAGCAGACTAGCCACGACAACCCCCTCCAGCGCCGAATCCCGACAAGGCGGCAGCAACAATATCCCCTCGCTATACTGTATGGTCGACAACGACGCGCCCAGCCCCATATGGTGGTAAATCGCCTCTTCCGTCTTCTGACTCCCGTCCGCACCATCGACCGAGACAAGCGTGTACCTCAGCGGACCGTGTTCGACGGGGTGTATCTCCCACTGATACGTCCTGCCACCCCGACCGGGTAAGACGAACCCAAAGTACGGGTTCCTCGATATCCCCGCCTTGGTGATCGAATCCGGTATGGGAAAACTCATCCTGACCGGTATCCTATTTCGAAAGGGATTATTGCTCGCCAGAATCTTAACCGTGAACTCGGCCTCCTCCTCACTCCCTCCTCCTCCCCCCCTTCCTCCCCCTCCTCCCCCGAGCAACAAGTCCACCTCGCTCCCGGCATTCCCCAACACCCGCTGCTGCACCTTCCCCACCATCCCATCACCACCCTCTCGAAAATCAACAAGATACTGCACGTCGCCGTCCGTCCCGTCCTCCCGCGGCGGCTTCATCAGCCCCAGCCGGATGGTGAAGAGGCTGCTGCCAATCAGCGCGCTGCCGACGTCGGCGCGGGCGTACTGCTCGCTCACGTCGTAGAGGGGCAGGTGGGTGGTCAGGCTCGTGTGCCGCGGCACGTAGAGGATGCGGGACAGGTGGGACGGCGTCGCCGAGAACCGCCGGCCCATGACGGATTCCACCTCCGCGGCGGCGTTGCGGGACTGCTGGATGATAGAGGAGGAGGAGGAGGAGGAGAGGGGCAGCCCGGCTGCGGCGGCTGAGTTGGCGAAGCTTGCCATTGTAGTAATTTGAAGTGCGCGTTTCTTATAAGGTAGGTTGATGGTTTGCCGAGTCTTTGGCGGTGAGTATTCGTGTAGGTAGGTAGTAGTATCGAGCTGTATCAACCCAAGGGCTTGGCGTTTTGATGTAGACCGAGGTCGTCACTAGCACGCGGGTGGTTGGTTTCACTTGGCTGTAGTTGTCAGAGGCTCAACTTTTCGTAAACAATGACCTGATCATGTCTCGTATGACCGCGTTGTTTGGCAAAAACATCCATGGACGTTGCTGGCCGGATCCGTGCTTTGCTTCACCGGTGAACAAAGAAGGTCTTGGGTCAGGACATTTCCAGGCTGGATAAGGCCGTCATGCTGTGCATGCGTTCCTGGACCAGACGGTATATATATATATATATGCCTTATGTGGAATGGAAGTCTGGAAACAACTAGCGTTGATTGATGAGGTCGTACGCGTGATACGCATTTCGTGTTGTCGTCAAGACTCTCAGTCTGGTTGGGCCAAAGAGGTAACGTGAGCTGGCGCCGGGAGCGTGACGTCATGCAGTTACGCGATATTCACTTACGCGGGAAGAGCGCGTTAAGTGGCAACTCTCTCATCAACACCACCTTCTTTCTCACGACAAACGGATTTTTTGAAAACAAACCCAGTAGGACGGCGATCTCCTCTGCGCTGGTCGTCTCGCATCACTCATTCTTCACAAAAGCTCTCGGCGTCGAAATAAGGTGCGACCATCGCCAAGATGCCCCTCGGAATCCAGCGCATCAACGCGAAGAAATCGCACCCGAACGACCGCATAATCTTCATCAAACCCCTGAAAGGACCAGACGAGAAGACGGCGCAAGACTTCCTCGAGCGCATAGCAGCGCAATGCCGTACGTTTACCGATCTTCTATCTAATAACTTAAGCCTCCATGATATACGTAGGTACTCTAACATCTGCCCACAGTCCCTATAATGAAAGAGCACTCCCTCTCCATCACAACCCTAGAAGAATACGAGCCCAACCGCGAGTTCGTCGGCCGGAACTTCAACGCCGGCGAGGTCATCCAGCTCGTCTTGAAATCCCGGTCGGGCCATTGGCTTCCTTTTAATTATGTGCAGATGGTGATGATGCACGAGCTCGCGCAC